ATTCTAATATCATATGTATGCATTGTAATGTTTGGACCACAGAACTCTTAACAATAAAAGTATGTAAATAAAAATGAAAAATGTCAATAAAAAACACATAATAAGAAGAAAATATAAAAATTGATAATTATTAAAAGATAGAATGAACCTTATGCATTGTAAAGTTTTTGGCAATGGTAAAGTTTATTCGATCGAAACCGGATACCGGTCAATAAGAACTTTTAGAAAGTTGTTGCAGAGACCTAGGTGCTATGAAGTATCGACACTTTAAAATAAGTGTTGCAGTCATGTTGGATAAGAACGCAATTGTCGTCAATTTTGTTGGTGAAAAAGCAAAAATTAAATAAGTTATAGTTATCAAATGGACTTAATTTTTTGTGTAGATGAAATACACAAAGTGCTTGATAAAATAAACGATTCAGATTATCAAAATGGGGCATGTGGTAGGCCTCATGGGCCAAAACAATGCTCTCTAATCCAAATTTTAAATTGGAACGGATCTTCCTCTTAATTCGATTCCCTATGCCCTATGAAACCTCTTAAATTAGAGAGAGAGAGAAAAAAAAAAAGAAACACAATCACTAACGTAGTTATTTTATATGAGGAAATTCTTTTCAGTCCATAATTTGAACTGAAGAGCGATATTTAGTCTTGTGATATCTATCATAGATATCGTTTTGATAATTCGAACTATTGAGTATGTTGGACATTTCATTTTTTTCTTTCGTGAACATATAAAAATTATATCGATTTAATAATTATAACCTATTTAATTTGCATTTGTCACAAAAAAAAAGGGACAATTGTAATCTATTCAATTTAAATTAATTTTACAAACATGTATCTCAACTTTCCGAAAGCGAGCTATGCTCCATCCTCATGCTTCAATGCATAATATTATAGTACATAATATTTTAATTATTAAAGTATTTGTAATAAGTGAAATATTATTATATATTTTTATGTATGTTGGAACGTTAGATTTGATGACTTTTTAATACAATTTTTATTTCATAAAAATTAGTTCGCTCACATTTAAAATATATATATATATAATAATAATAATTGGAATTCAAAATTATATTATACTATTAATTTTACATTTGACTTAAATTGATTACATCAGCTCAACACAAATTGCTTATAAAGTGATAAAATTTTGGTCCGGTCCGACCTGGCCAATGCCCAACTCCTACCCCGACCGGTTGGAGAAGTTATAAATAGGAATGGCAACGAGACAAGAAGGGTGAGTTTTACACTCTCTGTTCCCAATCTCCAATTATTATTATTTTTTTCCATTTCCATTCCTCATCCCTAACGAAGACCATTTTTACCACCGTCTCGCCTCTAATGGGGTTCGGTTTTTCCCGCCCCACAAATCCCTGACCCATTTTCGTGATTAGTAATGTTACATTCATCTAATTTGGTGCCGTCTGAATTGCATGAATTTGTTCACACTAGTCATCTAGATGACAGGATGACAACTGCGGTAGACGAAGGTGAAACCAATCGTCCAGCTGGCACAAATTCAAACGATTCGAGTGACAACAAATTCGATAAATAAATCATTTCACTTTTGTGATTTATTCAAAGTTACGTTGCTTCAGTTTATATCCCCATAACGAACAAAAAGATAAAAAGAAAAAAAAATAATAAGAGCAGAAAGTGAATGAAAGTGACTTCATCAAAGATTAAAAATATACAGTTTTTATTATTTATTTATTTATTTTTTTTTGCTTTCAATATTTTCAACTTTCTTTTATTTTTAAATTATTTTAACTGAAAAAGTAATTTTTTTATATATAAATTTAAAAAAATGTTAAAGAGAAAAAAAGTGTAAGGCCTTAATTATAAATTAGATTACGCAAACTTGATTATGAAGTTGAAAGGCTTAAATAAAATAATTTTAAATTTACATTAAAAATTTTGAACATCGCATTGAAATAGAATGAGAGGGTTTAAATAAAAAAATTAATAGTGCGATGATTAGTTGCCAAATTTAATGGACAGAAATGAAGGGCGAACAGATGTGGTGCCTGTTAGCAATGGGTAGTCAAACTTATTTGTCGAATTTAGTAGTTGGACGATGTCGAAGAATATGAGATGACCTGAAGAATACCAATTGATAATTGAAAATCACAACGGCGATCACCCATTTGCTAGAGAGTTGTCGGAGTTTGGTCAGAACTCGCCATTCATTGATAGTTGTGGTGAGTGGTGGCTAAAAGTGATGAGTGAGATGAGAAAATAAAAAATTATCGACACTTCAAAATAAGTGTTGCAGTCATGTCGGATAAGAACGCAATTGTCGTCAATTTTGTTGGTGAAAAGGCAAAAATTAAATAAGTTATAGTTATCAAATGGACTTAATTTTTTGTGTAGATGAAATAC